GATTAGTCGATGCGCTAAAAGAGACAGGAAAAGATTGTGAGCAAGTCTTGTTTGGCGAATGGGAGAGGCGCCGACAGGGAAGAGGTCGGATGTGTAGGGCTGAGTAGACCAATGGGGACTACCTGTGCAGAGGAAAGTAAGCACCAGCCTAGCCTGCCTAGAGAGACGTCTCAGGTCGGCCCGGATGAGATCGCGTAGCAGCCACAGGATATGTCTCTGTCAGCATCTTGGAGGCTGTGCAAATGTTCTTCTTCTTTCGAGTTTCTGAGTAGCGAGGACTGAAGACGCTCGAAAGTGGGCCACGGTAGAGGGTCGATTGGAGGGGATGGAGGCTGACATAAGGGCAACCAGCGCATCTCCATTGAGCAACTGACCGATGAGACAGGCAAGTGATCTAACCGCCTCAGCCAGCTTGACAGTCACCCGTGTGATTTTGATTCGTTGATTGCAGTGAAGGCTGCGACTGCCTCCGGCGGTGCCCGTATGTGTCTACCTTTGGATAGGCGTAGTAATTACAAAGCTCCGGAGCTGCTCGGTGTTTGAGTCCTATGGTCGGTGAGCAGCGGACGGGTCGGTCGTGGCCGTTGATCCCGTCATTGGTAAGACACCGGCGGTTGTTCCCCCGACAGTGATCGACACTGCAGGTGAGCAGGCGAAAGAGTCACCGGTGTCGTAGGTACCTGTATATGAAATCGCCTTGTGAGACATCTCATGTGACGACGAACGCGAGGCATCGCGAAGTGACGGGCATTGAATCACGGGCATGGAAGCGGAAAGATGGGTGATGCCGGAAACTCCGCTCAGTGCTCGCAGCAAATGACTGCCTTGGCTCCGTGGGGGCCCCGTGGAGCATCCGGAGAGACGGCAGAAGGCGGTGCTGGTCCGCACCTGGAGATGACCTAAGATCCTTTGGCCTCAGTCGACAAGGCATCGAGTGGTTGCTGTAGTCATCATGTCTGGTATGTGATGCCGAAACGGATGTGGTCCAGCTTGAGTCTTTTGACCGAGTATACTCAAGACGGTCTAGGGCGCATCAGGGATCGGACAAGACCGAAGTGTGAAGTCATTGGCAGTTGTGATTGCAGAGGTGCATCGCATCGGTAGCGTTGGGCGACGGATATGACAGAGTACGGCTGCTATTGCCGCAAGGTTCGTGTTTCGGGCAAAGAGGTGTACTCGGGTGCAGGCCCATGATCCTTCGAGCGACTCGAAATAATAGAAACCACTGTGAGTCAGCGGATGCAGCGCAATAGTGCCTTGAGCCCTGTTGCAAAGTCTAAATCAGGCTTTTCGATGGGCAGACTAGTCTCTGCGGTTCTCGTGTATCTTTTGAGTGCCAACATGTTCGCATTGCCTCTGATAAGATGGTTGTACTCCGTAAAGGCTGCTTTTGAAGAGATGTCGTTGTGGAAGGCGTATCCGTAAGATGGGACGAGATGAACGGGGATGCGACCGGGATGTTGGGGTCCAAAAGGGGCCGCTCAATGTTCCTGAAGCAGCTGCCTAAGGAACTTTGAAGTTGCAGTGCCCGGGTGCGCTCGAAGCCACGTGCGACATTTCACCCATTGTCCGCCGCCGGGATGGGAGTTGGGGGCCATGGGGCCTTCCTTTCCTGATTTCACTCCAAGGTACGTGAGTACCTACTGTACAGTAGATATCCGTACGGAGGGATGACTAAGGAGAACGTGGGCAGCAAAAGGTCTGAGCTTTGCGCCCCCTCAGACGGGAAGGCACAGCAGAGGTTCGCACTTTCCAAGGTACGCAAGGGAAGGAGGCAGGTCCTTGCTAGGGGCCGGCGCCCGGACCTTCTATGCGGACCATCCAATCCTCCCCCTCCAACGTCTGGACTTCCAGTGGTTAGAACCCAAATCCTTCCCGCCTACATTCAACTACCATCGAGCATTAGCCATAATCAGCCACTATCGTGTCGGAAACTCCAAGTGACGATAGTGTTGAAAATGTATGAAAGGATAGAGCAACAGAAAATACGTCGCCTCAGATAGGTGCGATAGCGACGGCTCGTCCTCGTCCTTGTCCCTCCAATCCCGGCGTTTAATCTTGTTTGCCAAGTGACAATCAACAAACAAACAAATAATAACCAGCGCCACCAACAGGATGCTCCAACACAATGCTGGGCCGTCAATATGGATTCGGGTACCTGTGCCGTACGGTTACTGGGTCAGGAGTTTCACCCGTATCTCGTCCATCTTCTCTTTCTCTTCTCCTCTTCAGAATTTCTCTTCCACTTCCACGAGCCGTCTCACCTCTCTTGACCTTGACTGCCTTCTTTGTCCCGCGACGAGTCGAAACTTTGCGCAATGGAGTCTCTACCTGTCGAGGTCCTTCAAATGACCCTGAGTTACCTCTGTATGCATTGCCGAGACCCCACCGGCTTCCCTCACGCAGATACACAAGAGGTCCGAGACGACAAGAGAGCATTGGCTTTCCTTTGCAGAATCTCAAGACGCATATCTGCGGTAGCCTATCCGATCTTGTACCACTATTATGCGACGGGAAACATGCATCTTAGACAGACAGTTATCACCAGGCAAAGGCCCATCAGAAATACCCCCGAGCCGAACCTGGTTCAGAAATTCACCCGTACCATCCGACAGCGACCTGACTTGGCCTCATACGTCGATGCTATGCAGGTTGCAAGCTGGGACCTGGAAATCAATTATCGCCTAACCTCACCGGACTCCTCCAGCTCCGACAGCAGTGTGTCGGATTCAGAAGTGCCCCCCGAAGTGTGGGAAGCTGCCAGTACATTATACGCTGAACACTCGAGGAAGCCACAGCCACCGACGCCAATAAAGGACTACAGCATGCTAGAAGGCGAAGTTCCAGATTTGATAGCGGCTATCCAGTCATGTCCTCGTTTGCAAAGTCTTCTCGTCAGTTACAGTGACCACGACCCCATCTGGCCCGAAAAAAGCTGGCTGGGGCTGAGAATGCCCTCGATCCGTCGTCTGGGTGTCATAGTCGGCCTATCCAGGCAATGCACACTCTATATCAATTTCGCCGGAATGCAGAACATGTTTCCCAACGTGGAATCTATCCATGCTAGCACGGGAGGCCTTTGGATTCTTCAGCGCGGCACGCTTCCGACCAAAAACCCGAAGGACTTTTTGACAAAGTTGAAGAGCCTATCGATTGCGGGAATGCGGGATCCTCACTTGGAGGAGCTGTTGACATGTCTGCCTGGTCTCGAACGCCTCGAAATCACCAACCAGAACTACGATTGCTCCTGGCGAAGGGCCCTCAAGCCGGTGCAAAACCGACTCAAGAGCCTTCACATATCCTACCACCTCAAGCCGCACCATGGCATGAAGCTGTGGGATGTCAAGTTTCGCCACAGCGAACGGTTTAGATTATGCGGCGCTCTGGAGGAACTCTCGCTCGACTGCCGGTTAATCCGGGACGTCGTCACGCCCTATGCTCCCGAAGCGAGACTAGCATCGCTGCTACCGCCATCGATTCGCGTTTTTAGGATTCGGTATCTTCATTATGTCATGTCAGGGACACTGAAGTACCTAGCAGACGTGGCACCCACCCGCTTCCCGCATCTCAAGCTCATCCACATTGGGGTGAGCGAATGCGAGTCGCCCGGGAATGAGGACATGGTTGCGGCAATGGAGGAACCGACGCGCCGGCTCTTCGCGGCGGTGGGCATCGATTTGTTGTGGACGCAGGATCTGGTTTGGGAACAGAAGAGACCTGGAAGGTTCCTGGGGTCGGGGATAAATTTGACGGCCGACATACCCCTTCCGGTGGTACCCGAGCATATGATCATTCATTAACGCAGAAAAGGGTGTGCAGAGGAGGGAATTCCGGCTGACCGTCGTGAGAAGCTCATGTGTTGTCAGTAGTGGTGTACTGACAACGTCGGTTGGGGTATGCTGATGGACTCGGAGTCGAGAAGAGAACAAGTAACGGTGACAACGGGTTTCTGAAGCAGTTGAAAGCACGAACCAGGGGAAGCCTAGCAACATGTCGGTCGGTGTACATCTGCTCACTGCCTCCACATCGACTTTGAAGTCGATAGTCCTATTTCACTTAGCTAATACATCACTTACACGCCCATGAGCTAAGAGGCTCGATGTACATACTTCGTTTATCTACTATTCGCCCGAGCAATCAGCAACGGCAGGATAATAAGTAAATAAGGTATGTACATCATGCTTCACAGCCCCTAGTGAATCCCCAACGCCACGAGACATAAGCTGAAATCGTCCAAGAAAGGCTTGGGAATATGAAACATCCACACACCTTCCTGTCCCAAATTCACGGCTGCCTGGTTTGGAAACACAGAGGCTAACCTGATTTAGGATATCTCACTTGAGCCGCACCAGCCTTACGACCTGCATGTAACCACCACCTACCCACCATTATCAACATCTCTCCTGCTGGTCTGGTGCTGACCACCGAGCCAAGACTTGGGTTCCACAACAGCCCTGCCACTCGGTCAGCGAAAGTAGGAGAGGCGCACATACACAGCCTACTAATGCAATGCAACCAGAGCCAGGAAAAGGCGGGAAATTGCAAAGAGAGAGACCTCGTGGTTGTGGAACGTGAGTAAGAAACAGAGCAACTCTGGCCCTCGTCAACCCCCCCCCCCCTTTCCCTTGCCAGCCTTGTAGATCTCCGAAAAGGGAAATAGAGCCAACCTGGGGTGTGACACAGAGGCGTGTAGGTGTGTATCTGCATGGCAAATTTGGGAAATCATGTGTAACGTACCACGCTTAGCAAAGTTCACGTCGGGCGGCCGCCGAGGTCTGCGGACCCACGGCAACCATTTCTGGGTCCGCGGCCCTCCTCACCATCGGACCGACGAGGTGCGAGGAAATAACGGCAGATAGACTAAGAATGCTATGCGAGGAAGGAGGGAGGTGGTACCATGGCTTAGGACTTTGCTAAGCCCAGGGATTACTCACTCACGGACCAAGAGTTCTGCTAAGAAGGAGCCTCTCGAGGGCTTGGCGGGCGGATTCGGGGTATCACTAAGAATTTCTTGTCTTGAATCCTTCACTCGGCTCGCTCCTACGCGGGCGGTCCCGTGTGTTGAACGACGTGTTTTGGCCCCCCTGAGGCGGAATTGACTCTGGAGCTTTGAGATGCCTTCGTCTACAGATATTCACGCAGCGGAAATAACTTCCTTCATGAGCTGCGCGTTCCAAGTCGTCATTCATGCCTTGGTGCGGCGAAAGGGGGACCCTTCGCGTTTGTACAGACTTGGAGAAAGGACTATACATGGATGGTCTCACCTAGGTAAGTTTGGATGGGAAGGTTGCCTGACCAAATCTGTCAGGCAGAAGCCGATGATGTCGAAACGATGACGGACACGAATGCTTATGCCGTTGCTCGTCGCTTTCTGCTCGATTCGGTCAACAGGGACGGACATGGTGTGCGTGCTAACTTCAGTCGAGGACGGCTTACATATCCCCTTTTCCTTTTTGGTATCTGTGGGCTTACGCTCCTCGGCCGAACGTAGAATTGTCAGCACACCACACACATTCACACTTACATGCGACTATCAAAGTTCAAAATCCGGCAAGGCCGAACCAGGCATCTCGTCCTTCTCCGGAAACACGTTCGAGGGACCTGGAAAAAAAGGGACCTTGCATGTACAACGAATTCAAGCCAGCCGAACAGACCGGCCTTTTTGCATAATCTCATTCCCCGGACGGGCTTCTCAAACCAGCGTGTCGCCCGAAAACCACTCTATGCTTTTTTCCCTTTTTGCTCTCTTCTTACTTCGTACATGCATTGCCTCTCCTCGATGCGCGCGCTTCCGTGTGATGTGACGAACAAACAAGGTACGTGATTTACAACTCGTCCCTAACGTGCCCGCCGCTGCTGCCGCCGCCAGACTTGCTGGGCTCCTCCATGGCCATAAGCTTGACAACTAAGCTCGTCCAGCCGGTGAAGTGCTGGGTGCGCTGCCCCTCGCCCGTCTCCGGGTTGTACTGCTCCCAGGCGAAGCCCGTCTTTTCCCAGCTGTTGTAGACGGTGTCGACGAGGTTCTTGCGAAGGCGGGTGAAGAGGTCCGCGGCCTTGGCCTTGTAAGGGCCATCTTGAGAGGCGACGTTCTGTGGTACTTGTTAGTGATGGGGAATTCTTGTCGGTAGGAGATGGGTCGGTGTGACTTACTCTCAGTTGGGAGACGGCCATGTAGTTGATTGGCATCCACACAGGGCTTCTCCAGTAGTTCTCAGCCGTGCCATAGAACTCATCCTGCTTGCTCAGACTCCTCAGGCCGTGGGGGCTGAAGAGGTGCTCCTCGTCGCCAATGAGGTCGAGGAGCTTGCCCAGCTTGGGGTCGTCGGCCTCAAGAAGACCGACCAAGAATGGGAACAGCGAGATGTAGCCCTTGTGGCAGACGAGGGTGTTCTCTTCGTAAGCATCGATCGTGGCATCGCAGTAGCAGCCCTCCTTCTCGGACCAGTGGAGGTCGTTCAGGTTGCGACGGATGGCATTCAGAGTCGTCTTGAACTCGTCAACCTGCTCCGCCATGCCAAGAGCGTCGGCAATGTTCATCAACGACTTGGTCATCAATCCAACCCAGGACATGAGGTCGACGTGGAGTTCGCCGGGGTGAGGGGGCTGGGGACGAGGGTAGTCATCGAGACCGCTCGTGAGAACGTGGGTCTCGGTGCGGCCGCGCCATCTGTAGCCTTCCTTGTTCGAGAACGCGTCGCGGTCGTAGGTCTTCAAGTCTCCTCGCTGAGTCTTGCGGAACCAGTCGTACTGCTGGCGGACGAACGGGTACAGCCTTCGGAGGAACTCCTCTCCGAGCTCGACATTGTCCAAGTGGGCGGTCTGCAGGGAGGCCTGAGGGCCGAGATGCTCTTTTTCGGCGGGCTGGCTACCGTTGGTCTTGCGCAGTCTCTCCATGAAGCCTTCAATGATGAGGAAAAGAGTGGGAGGGTTGGCGTAGTGCGGGTACTGGACCTGGAATTCCTCGGGTACCTTGCTCCGAGCCTCGAGACCTAGAATTTGCTCGCGAGGGATCCATCCGTCTTCGTCCATGGTGTTGAACCAGCTCTTGACGATCTCCAAGGTCAAGTCAATGTCCCAGTCGGCGATGGGGATAAGGTGATAACCCTCGTCCCAAAGGAATCCCCGAGGGAAGAAGGGGCGAGACGGAACAGCCGTGAAGAGCTCATACGGGCCCTCCAACTCCTGCTGCTTGCGTGCGCGGGCAGCAGCGGTCTCCTCCCAGAAGCCCTCGTTCTCTTCGTCGTACTCGGGAGCGTAAGAACGATCAATCAGCTGAGACCCGTGGAAGTATCCGATGCCGCCAAGTAGATTAGAGAACATGCTCTTGGCAAACTTCTTGTATTTGTCGGCAGTGAACGGAGCCTTCAGGCTGAAGATGGAAGAGAAGCGTTCTCCAAAGAACTCGGTGACCGACTTGATCTCGCGCGTGACATCGGCACTTGTGAGCTCGGGGCCCGCAGAGGCAGATGAGAAGATGACGTCAAACTCAAAAGCTCCCTCAAACATCTTCTGGACGACGTGCGTGTTCCCTTCGCCGGGCTTGTTCTCGATCTGGTAGGTGAGGTATGCCGGAGGCGGCTCGTTCATCTCGTAATTCTCCTGGACAAACTTGACGCTTTCCTGGATGAGGTTGAAAACAACACCCTTGCCCTGCCACTGATGCTCCTCAGGAACTGTCAGAGATCGTACCGTCGTGCGATCGGGGTGTCTCTTTTCGGACAAATCGTGGCTGCTGGAAGGGTGCTTGCCCTCTCCCTTAGTGATGACCAGCTTATACTTGCCGAGCTCCTGGGAAGAGCCTCCGAATGCAACGTCGCCGTCGAACCCAGCGGGGTCATTCTCACCGGAGAATGCGAGCTCTGCTTCGCTGTTGTCTTCGGCGATGTAGTAGTGGATCATGGTCTTCAGATCGGCGGGTGCACCCTCTCTCGGAACACCCTTGATTCTTGCAGCCCAGCTACCGCCGTTGGCTCCACCGGGGACCTTGACAAACGAAGTGGTGATGTCAATCTGATTGCCTTCGTCGTGGATAGACTGGATGCCTCCCTTCCGGGCATCATACTCGTCCCATCCATAGCCATGAAGGCCTTCATGCTGTTCGCATGTGTAGCGGAAACCTAGACTTGTAAGCCTTTACATATATATGTATGAAGACGCCGGTATACAACATACCTTGCTGAACGTCTTGGTAGTTGTCGACTCTGGACCACATCAATCCAGTCCACAGACTCTTGGGGGATCGGTTGCGGACGCCAAAGTACAGGTTCGACTTATAAGGACCCCAGAACAAGCTTTCGTTGTTGAGGCGACCGACCTCGGAGGTCAAGATTGAAGCCGAGCCGGGACCATCTTCCGCCGCAAGGGCTAGCTGTGCCCCAAAGATATTGAAGAGGGAAAGCGTGAGGAAGACGGCCAATTGCGTTATGCGGGCCATCTTTGCAGTGTGTGAATGATCATTCAGCGCTCATCGGAGCTCTGAGGGGAATAATCTGACGCTCACACAACAGCTATGTGAAATTGCCAAGCTGTGTGCGTCAGTTTGTGTGTGTAATGTCAGGTTTGAAATAGAGAAGTGAACGAAGTCGGGTGTAAGATGAGAAAGAGGTAAGTATCAATGTACCTCTGGCCAACGCTGCTGGAGTGAACACGTTGGACGACTCGCAAGCTGCCCGGGATGGAGCTCGGATTGAGGCTGAGGTGAAATGTGGCTTTGACAGCTTGGTTGACGTCGGCTGCCAAACGAACCAATCAACCCCCTTGGAGCATGTCAAGCTTGGGCCAGCTCATGTGTGGCGGCGGGTGTTTTAGCGTCAACCCCGTTGTCGATAGCTGCTACGATCCCTGAAACTTCAGCAACTGTCGGTTGTCCCAATGTACTCCACTGGGCCTTTGGGGAATGGAATGTTGCGCCTACTTGACTTCCTCCACTGAAAGCCCCCCCCCCCCCCTGCCGAGTCGCACACCGTCAATTGCTGCGAGTGGCTGCATGTCAATTCCCTCCCATCCACTCTGACCTCTCTCTACCTCACTGGTACATGCTCCTTTCCACTGTTCACCTGCATCAAGTAGCTCTTGTCGACCTGCAGCCCAGCCTTGCGCTTGATCACGGAAACGCGCACGATATAGCCATCGCATAACCAGCTTGACGACCTCGGGGGCCACCTGTCGAGCTTCGCGCACTTCTGTGTTCCCCTGGTGTGGCACCAAACGCACGAGACCATCGCGATATGGCCACATAGTTCGCCCGCAACATACTTTGAGTTGAAGATGCTGGACGGGAGATACATATGCTAGGATGAGCTTGGACTCGCTGTTACCCATCGCTCCCGCGAGGGTGAAGGCATTGATTCTACCTCTGGGCCAAATCAGAAGTGATCGTTTCTCGTCCTTCATTGAACGCCTGCGGCCTGAACATGTCGTCTCCTTGCGGGATGTCAGCCCTGATGGGCGGCCAAACAGGAGCACGTCCTTCCATTTCCCATATTCTTTTCAAGAACCCTCATACTGACCGTCAATCTATAGATATGTTTTCCCCTTTGGCCTTCCCTGACGGCGCCGTATTCTACGAACTCATAACCCACGTCCCCCCACCTTCGCATCTCGCGCTATCGCCGTTCGACTTCTACCGTGAACCCCTAGCGGTTATTGCAATCGCTGACGGAGAGGAACTCAGCCGAGTCACCTTCAGCAAGAGACACTCTGGAAATGCGCCCACCGTTGCCGAACAAAACATCCGAACGCTGGACCAGGAGTTGGAGGACTTGAGAGACCGCTTCGGAAGGGCACTGGTTCACCGAGTGCTGATCTTCGACCATGCGCTTTCGAAGGAGAACCCGGTACCTTTACCCGAGGGACTCATTGCTATACCACCGCCGGACGAGTGCAAGCGGACGACCATGAAAACTATAATGTGCGACATTACGTCGCAGCTCCTGGCGGAAATGACAAGACTGGCCAAGTCGTTTGAAGCCTGGAACTTCATCGATTCTCCCGGACAGTCTCAGTCAAGTAGACAAACGAACGGCGCATCATGGGGCGCAGATGATTCTGGTTCGGTAAATAAGAGGGCATCTCAATTCGTTCCTGGTCCGCAGAGATCGAGCTCGACCAGTGGTATTCCAGATCGGCACATGAATCGCATGTCTATGCCGGTTGCGCCTATGAAGCACAACTCGGCTGTATCGTCGAGCAACTCAACGCCCGCTCGGCCATCAACTCCTGTGAAAAGCGGACTGTCGAACCCTCCTACCACTTTTGACGATTTGACTTCCGGCATGAGTAGTGACTCTTCGACCCCTGACCGAAATTCAAGGCCGGGTGCTGGAGACCACTTCAGGTCAGAAAGTTCAGATCGAGTTTCGGTGCAGGGCTTCGGCCCCGGTGGTCTCAATGATCGCTTCAGAGCGAAAGGCAAAAGCAGAGTCAAGATCCTTATGGGGTCTTTGTTTCTGCAAGCAGGTCGCTGGACCGATGCTTTGAAAGAACTTATAGATGGCGCGACAGTAGCCAAATCGATAAACGACCACATATGGCATGGCAAGGCACTCGAGTTGATCACTCTCTGTCTACTGCTGCTAGGCTGGGTCAAGGTCGACTTTCAGGTCCCGTCTATTTGCCTACCCCCACAAGACAAATCTACGGCTGCTACATATGCTGCCCTAGAAGCAGCGACCCCAACTGATGCAGGCCAGCCCAAGCATATTCGAAACCTTCAAATTATACTCCCAGACCTTTTGGACCGAATCGCCGGGCTGTATTCTCGTATATCTGCTGAGCATCTGCCTCCCTTACCCCTGGCGGAGACGACAATTAGATTCTCCAAGATTTTGTCTGCTTTGCACCTTGCTGACGGAAAGCTCGGAGAGCGTGCCTACGAGATCATGATCTTTGGAAAACTGCCCTCGACCCCTCTGACAACCTCGCCCCGGTTGACCGTTGTCCCGAGCCGACAGTCAATCGTCACATTTCTCTTCCGCGCGTTTCCTGCCTCTTCGTCGGAGCTTCTCACCATCGCAGATAGAGTTTCGATTCTAGCAGGAATCGCATCCGTTCTTGGACCTCTCGGTCATCATCGGAAGAAAGCAATGGTAACCAGAGAACTCGTTTCCGTCCTAATCAGCGGACTGGTTGAGGCGCGCACTCGTGGTGCTGCAGACATGGGTATACACCCTGCGGCAGGCCTGGTAGCTCTGAATGCTGCCAACGGGCACAGTAATAGCGCAGTCGCACTCGAACTGGGCGAAGGCGACGTTGAACAGGGAATCGAGGCATTTTTGGCTCTTTTGTGCAAGTCTTACGGTGTTGTCGGCTTTGACATGAAGAAACAACCCGCAGACGATGCCATTTCGACAGAGGACTCGGACGCTGCTGTCATCGATAGAATTCGGGGACAGGCAGCTGCGAGATTCTTTGGGTTCACCAGTGTCAAGCTGAACATACTGAGAGCATGCATCAACTTTTCTGAGGCGTTGCCTGACTTCAACGGTGTTTTGAAGTTCTCCAGTGATCTGCTTCGCACGGCTGGCTCAGGAGTTGCCCCTGGCCCTCGCAAAGAAGATGCATCACCGGTCATTACTCGTGACGAACAGACCCGGCTCGCCACAAATATTTCAAAGACATCGAATCTCGCGAAAAGATTAGGCCTCAATCAGCTCGCGGCGGAGTACTGGGACGAATTCTTCGTCCGTGGCGTCGCCTTAGAACCACTTCCGATTACCAGAATTCCGGTCCCGCATGCCAAAAGTACACTTCCTGGAGCAGTAATTGCGAGAACTTCTCAAGACGTCAACCCTTTTATATACAACCCATTCCTTAAGCAGCCCGATAAAGCTGCTGACCACCTTCTCGTTGCGAACGAGCCCGCAACCTTTAGAGTTACTCTCCAGAACCCATATGACATCGAGGTGGATGTCGAAAGCCTTCGCCTGGACACCAGCGGTGCAGAATTCGAATCAAACTTTGAGAGCACCATTATTGGCCCGTACCGAACACAGATTCTCAAAGTCTCGGGAACACCAAAGGGACCGGGTGCCTTGAAGGTAACAGGCGCAATCATCCGTGTCCGCGGCTGTCGCGAGAGACGATTCCCCATATTCAAACAGCCATGGACGCCGCAAGCAGATGTCAAGGTGAAGGCTACCGGACTTCAAGCCTTGGAAACCACCCTTGCCTCAGGAGCCCTTGTTGGCCAACCGCTGAAGGTAGGGAGTGTCGCATTGAATGTCATCCCTAAACAGCCCATTGTTATTGTCAAGTCGACAACGCTACCCCAGGCTTCCGTCATGGTGCTCGAGGGAGAGAGACAGGTGTTCTCTGTCACGTTGCAGAATCTCTCCCAAACAACTCCAGTGGACTTTATGCTTTTCTCTTTCCAGGATTCCACGCAGGGACCGTTGCAGGCAGGCATCAACAACAGAGATGCTACGCCAGCCGAATTGTACGAATACGAATACATTCTGATGAGGCGCCAAGGTCTTCGAAGGTTGAACAAGAAGGAACCGGAGAAGCGATACATTGCTCCAGGAGGCACTGCCACATTTGATTTCGAAATCCTAGGCAAGCCTGGGTTGACAAACGCTGCCATTCAGATCGACTATGCCCATCTCGGAGTGCCTCCCGAGGAAGTGACGGACAAATTCCATACCCGACAGGTCTCGCTGCAGTTGACGGTCACTGTAAATGCTAGCGTCGAGCTCACGCGACTCGATATCCTGCCTCTCAGCGGACCCGTACCCAAGCCGCTTCTCAGTCTTACAAACCTGGAGTCCAAGGTTGATCCTTCGACATTGGCAGATGAATATTGTCTTTTGTCTATGGATCTGCGCAATGCTTGGCCGAACAATATGGAGGTCGAAATGGATGGTGAGGACGGTATTGTGATTGAGGAACACGTTCTCCCGGGGAACACCAGTCGCGTTATCGTTCCCCTACGGCGCATTTACCTCGAGGACCCTCACGCATCGATCCCGGCACTCAACCCATCAAGACAGCGGCAATTTGTTGTGAGCACTAGCAAGATTACGCCCGACATGGAACGCTCGAACCGCGAAGCATTCTGGATGAGGGAAAAAATACTGGAAACGCTCACAGCCAGGTGGAAAACAGTATCTGGCCCAAAGCGAAGCGGCTACATAGACCTGAGAACCATTAGGCTTTCACCCAGGATGATGGACGCTCTCAGGATTGATGATGTCGGCATCGAAATATCGGTACAGGACCCGGGCCAAACTGTAGGCGAAATGGTCAAAGAGACGATACTCGTCGACAACTTTGTCCAGGTCAAGATTGGTATCACCAATCGGTCAGCCAAGCCAGTCTATCCGATGTTGAGACTGATGCCAGCCTTATGCCACCGTCCGTTGAACGTGGCGTTGGACTTTACGCGAAAATTTGCCTGGAACGGTACCTTACAGCAGGCACTTCCGCTGTTGGCGGCCAAGGCGACTACAGAAGTGGAGATTCAGGCCATGGCACTCTGTCGAGGAGAGTTCGAAATAGGGGCATCCGTTGAGGAGTACCAGATTTGGGAAGAGCCAAAGGAAAAGAAGGAGCAGGAAGAGACACAAGAGAGCCGACAGCGATCGGACACTCAGACGATGCTCAACGCGATCATTGGTGCGAAGGAAAGGCGTATATGGCACTCAAGGCAACCCTGTATCATCAAGGTGGTGGATCAGGACTAGCGACTCGAGCCATTCACATGACGAACTGTATGATGGTGGACATGTAGAAGTGATTCATACCATGGTGGAGTTGGCGATCGCAGCGGCCTCCAATAAGTAGATAATTGACTTCTTGATAGACGACTCAAGCCGCTACCAATTCTTGACTAGCTGCGACGGGTTCAAGCAAGGTCCAATCCAATCCAGGGATAACTCGATCAGCCCGGCGATCGAATTAAGCTCATCCCTGCGTCCCGAACAAAGGGCTCACGGGCGATTCATGCGTGGGTCTGACCGCCTTCTCGTTTCTGCTGTTGCCACCAAATTTTCCTTGGGGAGTCGCTTTCCGGTGCTAGCCGACAGCGGGCCTTTTTACCAACCCAAAGAGATCCGTTTCCGCCGTACAAGCTTTGGTCAAGCCATTCCCGTTTTGCGAGCGTTGCATTCGAGGTTGTCGCTGTCGTCGTCTTAAAAGGAAAATCCGGGATCTCACTAATAACCAAGGATGACGCGACCTCAGATTCTGTTTTTTGATGCGTACGACTCCTTTACGAACAATATCGTATCCCTTCTCACAACGCTGCTTGACGCCGATGTACACGTTTTACCGATTGATACGCCCTTGCTAGACCAAAAGTCGCCGACTTTCTCGGTCGATTTCCATCGGGAATTATCACGGTATCATGCAGTAGTCTGCGGACCTGGCCCTGGCTCCCCCGAGAATGAAACGGATGTTGGGCTCATGAGATGTATTTGGAGATTGCAAGATGAGCATATGCTGCCGGTTCTTGGCATTTGCCTTGGGTTTCAGAGCCTCGTCCTCAGCTCGGGTGGTAAAGTAAGGAGGCTTCAACGCGGGTTGCACGGGATGGTTCGCACTATTCAGCATGAGAAACCTGAAGCGACGTGCGCCGAGGACATCTTTGATGGCGTCTCCGAGTTCAAGGCAACCCTCTATCACAGCCTCTGTGCCGACATCGGACAAGATTCCATCTCAGATTCCACTTGGGCAGAGTGCCGTTGGCGTACCCAGAGGACAGCTCTTGAGCTGTTGCCTCTGGCGTGGGTGGATGAAGAAAGGGATAGCGACCGCGAGAGAATCCTCATGGCGGTCAAGCACCAGAGCAAACCCTTCTGGGGCCTTCAGTACCACCCAGAGTCTGTATGTACCCAGCCGGCAGGTCATGCAGTCATCAGCAACTGGCTTCGCGAAGCCATGACGTGGAATTTGAAGGCGAACAGGACTGTCTTGACCGGAGAGCGATTCCTGGCAAGGAACGCAGTGAAGCCGAGTCTCCTCTGTGAGAACCGTGCCGCGGCTCAGCGAGGGAACGCCCCGATCCTCGAGTGGACGGAGATGCCCACGCCCCTGGCGACCGCCGGACTCGACTGCGAGTACCGATACAAAACCATCAGCCTCCCGGCGAACATCAAGGTGCCGGATATCATGGAGATACTAAAGAGTGGCAGGACGGAGCACATCATTTTGGATTCGTCCAACTCGAGCAACATGGCGACGGGAGCTGCCGACGTTCGGGGCCGATTTAGCGTCATTGCTCTGGATGTGGAGGAGTCACTGCGAATCGAGCATCATGTGGGAGACGATTTCGCCACGGCCCGGATCCCATCGATTCAGGGGCTGCCCGTCGACCTGGTGGAGACCGTCCCCTTCGGGTCGCAAAGGAACATTTGGCATCTCCTCTCCGGTTTCCTTGAGAAGCGACGCATCCCGGCCTCGGGGGAGCTCCAGACACCGTTCCGAGGAGGCTTTATGGGCTACCTTACGTACGAGATGGGACTAAAGGGGATCGACGTGGAGGTGGCTGCTGAAAGAGGGCATCAGAGGCCTGACCTGTGCTTCGCTTGGGTCACTAAGAGTATTGTGGTCGATCACGTCAAGGGCTTGTTGCATGTCCAGCACCTTCAGAAGCGCAAACTCAATGCCGACTTTTGGATCGACTCCGTGGTGGCATCGTTGCAGACGTCCCACTTTTGGCAGTCACCGGGCAAGACCACCGTCAACGGTTCGGATGCTTCGACGGTAGCTACGAGGCCCGTTATTCGGGTCCCCGCCGCCGACGAGTACGAAGGCAAGGTCTCGCGCTGTCAAGACTTCATCGCCGCCGGCGAGTCCTACGAGCTGTGCCTGACGGACCAGACGACAATCACATTACCCGGACGCTCAACAAAGGAACACCAAAACGGCCTCGCCAACGGACACCTGTCTTCAGAACAGGTGCAAAACAAATCCGCACACGTTGCGCCCTGGAGGCTCTACAAGACGCTCAGAGCCCGCCAGCCCGCGCCCTTTGGCTCCTTCATCCGCCTCGGCGGCGCGACCCTGATCAGCAGCTCCCCGGAGCGCTTCCTCGAGTACGACGCCGACGGCTTCTGCTCCATGCGGCCGATGAAGGGCACCGTCCGCAAGTCGAACCAGGTCGCCACGCTCGCGCAGGCCGAGGCGATCCTGCACGTGCCCAAAGAGGAGGCGGAGAACCTCATGATTGTGGACCTCGTCCGCCACGACCTGCACGGCGTCTGCGGCTCTGGCAACGTCACGGTGCCGCACCTGATGAAGGTGGAGGAGTACGCGACCGTGTTCCAGATGATTACGATTGTCAACGGACAGCTACCGAAGCCCAAGACGACGACGACGACGGGTGCCGATCGTCAGCACACGGGGCTCGATGTCCTCGCTGCTAGTCTCCCGCCGGGCAGCATGACGGGAGCCCCGAAGAAGCGGAGCTGCGAGCTGCTGCAGGAGATCGAGGAGCACAGGGAGAGGAGTCTGTATTCTGGCGTGGTGGGGTACATGGACGCCACTGGAAAGGGGGATTGGAGCGTCACGATCCGAACTATGTTCAAGTGGGATGATGAAGCTGCGCCGCCGGAGGAAGGCGAGACGGAGCCGAGAGAGGTCTGGCATATCGGAGCCGGCGGTGCCGTGACTATCCTGAGCACTGCCGAGGGTGAGAGGGAGGAGATGTTTACCAAGTTGGCGGGGCATTTGGGCGTCTTTGCGGAAGCATGAGCGGGTTCGGGATTTGGGGATAGATTGGGAGGAGGGGGCCTCGCAATTTTTGGAATCGGCTTACTGGCGTTTACTATGTCATGAAGGGGGATATTCATGGTAAGGGGGATTTTTTGGTTGATACCTCAACGTATCTGGGATATTAGACTCTGGACCTTCACGGGTATTAGACTCAACTTTTAGACGACCCGGATCATCCACACGAAACTAGTAGAAAAAACAAGATCATTATTAAATAATCCATGTTTACGCTATCAGTTTTCCGCAGTCGGTCATTGGGAATTAGATGGTTTTGTCGTTGCATAACAAAAGCGAGAAAAAAGAGGAAACGCCCGCCTGACGGAATGATGCTGGATATACATGTGAAGCCTCCAAGTAAAGCGCACCCCGTTCCAAATCCCACTTTGCCGGATTCCCGAACCCGAGCGCCACAATGGTTTCCGACCTCGTCTCGTCGTACTGTACACGTCTGCCGCCAATTTGGTTGAAATGCGTATGCCCTCCATCACTGCTTCTGCTGCTGCTTCTGCTGCTTCTGCTGACACTACTTCCCCATCGCCTGCTCATAGCCTTATCAATTGTCCCCGGTCGTTGCTCCCGACGCTAGTCAGAAGTCCTGCTCCTCCTGAAAGAACATGCTAAAGCTGATGATGGTTCCGTAAATGAGGAGACCGCCAATTATCGACATGACCATGGCCTCAACCTGGATGAGATCGGAGTGGGCGAGAACGATGGGCAGGGCTGCGATAGAAGAGCATGGTCAGCAACACGATCCTCGCAATGATCAAAGACAAAAGAGCTGTAGGGGTTGGGAAAAGGGGGGGGGAGAAGAAGCTCACCAATTCCCATAACCACCATGAACCCAGTGCAGAAGCGGCCGAGGTCCAGCACGGCGGAGCCGGAACCCTCGCCAAAGTCATCAGGGTTGGTGCATCGCGAGCAGACCCAGTTGGGGATCGGGGCCAACACGTAGGTAGCGACAACGAGAAGCGGGTAGTAGACCTTCCAGAGGGCGCAGGAGAGGATGACGAGGAGAAATCCGACGGCGAGCACGAAGGAAAGGGCGATGATGGTCTTGAGCCCGGCGGTCGGCATCTTGAATATCGTTGGAAGGTGGGCTGTGGTTTACTTGTTTCGGACGGGTATCGAAGTCGGAGCTGGGTATAGACGGCCCCGCCGGGGGTGCAAATGTGTTCCTTCGAAATTCCCTTGGGAGTTCCGTTGAGAGCTTCGAGCGACGATCGTTTCTTGCGATTAGGCTGTCTTTTGATTAGTCGTGGGGAAGCTTCGTGGTGGTGGAGGATCAATCGGTCGTGTCGGTTGAGTAGTAGTTCGCGGCTAGGCTGGCAGGCTGAGCTGCGATGCGATGGCGGGTCCCAGGCCTGACGCACGAAGACCGTCGTCAGCGCACGGCGCAACCTTGTTCCAGCGGCCGGACAGCCTCCAATGACAAACCGCAAATAGTGGAAGGTCTCCACTCGGAAAGACCCCGGCTGTGAGTGAGGTCAGGTACGGGGGCAGGAAAGTGTACGTACCTCAACGAGGGATGCACGGAGCACCTGGCACCCTGGCACCTGGCTCCAGGCTGAGAGAGTGCTACGAAAGCTCGACCTGCCTTGAGCTGGGCCTGGCGTGCGGGAGGGACGCTTTATTATCCACCAAGCTGTCTCTCGCTCTCCCATCACCGACCTGCTCGCCCAACGACCACCCCGCGATCGAATCTCTCCCTCCCGTCTCCCTCAACCATCCACGACCCGCTACACGAAGACTCCAAGTTTCTTCCGTTTCCAGAAACCGCCGAACCGCCTGACGAAGCTACGAATCACCCCTCACGCCCGCCATGTTCAGAAACAATTACGACAACGACTCGGTGACATTGTAAGCTGTTTGGCCCGCTTCCTCAGCCTTCCCTTCCAGTCTCCCCGACTCCGCTGTGAAGAAGGCCAGCATAAAGATGGAGTGCTAACCTTCAACGTCTCATAGCTCGCCG